CGGCCGCCGTAGGGCAAGCGCTGCGGGAGCCGGGCGCGTGGCGCCAGCTGTAAGGGACTCCGCGTGCCCTTACAGCTGCCATCAAGAAACCCGCCCCCCCATCGATTGGCGCCCCGGGCAGCTGCCTGGCTCGCCCATGTCTCAGTCCAGCCCCAGGTGTAAGGGAGGAAAATTGTGCTCTCCCATTCCTTGGCACTGCTGCCAACCACAATCTGGCCTCCGAGGAATTTCTGGGCATAATTCTGTCCTGGCCTAAGATAGAACACTGCTCAGTGATTTGATCAAGAAACCCGCCCCCCCATCGATTGGCGCCCCGGGCAGCTGCCTGGCTCGCCCATGTCTCAGTCCAGCCCCAGGTGTAAGGGAGGAAAATTGTGCTCTCCCATTCCTTGGCACTGCTGCCAACCACAATCTGGCCTCCGAGGAATTTCTGGGCATAATTCTGTCCTGGCCTAAGATAGAACACTGCTCAGTGATTTGAGTTCATTCGGCACCAGTTCACTCCACTGACCACTCCTGAGAAAAAACAAAGTTATTTACTTTTGTAACTCTGGCTTTTTGAGACGTGTTGCTTATGTCCATTCCACATAGGCGCGCATTGCGTGCATGCGTGGTTGGACGTTTTCTCCCTTAACAGTACCCGTTGGGCCAGTAGGGGAGCCCCCTGGCATGGCGCTGGTATATCAGCTAATATATACCCCTGCTGGCCTTCTACCCTGTTGGTTCCTTCTTACTAGACTATGCCGAAGAAGGGGAGGTGGGCGGGATTTGGAATGGACACGAGCAACACATCTCAAAGAGCAACAGTGATGAACCATTTTTTCTTCGAGTGACTGCTCATGTCCATTCCATGTAAGTGACTCCAAAGCAGAAACCCTAGGAAGCAGGGTCGGATTTTAACCTTTAACCAAGCAGAGGACAGCCCTACTCAGGACTGCATCTTCTCATGCCTTATGGCCCAGTACACAGTGATCAACAAAAGCGTGAACCAAAGACCACGTGGAAGCCCTGCAGGTGATCGGTTTCTAGCAGCATGCCCAAGTATCTGTTCTAGGACCGATTTTGTTCAACATTTTTATTAATGACTGGATGAGGGGATGGATTGCACCCTCAGCAAGTTTGCAGATGACACTAAGCTAGAGGGAGAGGTAGATAAATTGGAGAGCAGGGATAGGGTCCAGAGTGATCTAGACAAATTGGAGGACTGGGCCAAAAGAAATCTGATGAGGTTCAACAACGACAAGTTTAGTGTCCTGCACTTGGGACAGAAGAATCCCAACCATTGTTACAGGCTGGGGACCGAATGGTTAAGTAGCAGTTCTGCAGAAAAGGACCTGGGGGTTACAGTGGATGAGAAGCTAGATACAAGTCAACAGTGTGACCTTGTAGCCAAAGCGGCTAATGGCATATTAGGTTGCATTAGAAGGAGCATTGCCAGCAGATCTGGGGAGGCCACATCTGGAGTATTGTGTCCAGTTCTGGGCCCCCCCCCCAATATAGAAAAGACATGGACGCCTTGGAGAGGGTCCAGCAGAGGGCGACCAAAATGATTAGGGGGCTGGAGCGCATGACCTAGGAGGAGAGACTGAAGGATTTGTGTTTGTTAGATCTACAGAAGAGATGAATGAGGAGGGATTTGATAGCAACTTTCAACTTTCTGAAGGTAGATGCCAAAGAGGATGGAGAAAGGCTGTTCACAGTAGACTGCCACAGGGTCCCCACAGGGCATTGGCTTCTGGCACTTCTCACAAGGCTTGAAGCCTTAGGAGTCGGGCTTGCCCTACCCGATGCACCCTGACCAGAAGCGAGCCCCACGCCTGGGTGCTTAATACTAAGTACAACACTTAACAGCTACTAAAAACCTAGATAAGAACAATGAATTTTAAACTTTTAAACTAGCTACCATAACAAGAAGAACGACTAAGTGGTGCTTGCAGAGCAAGAGCAAAGGCATGTTCCAAATACCTTCAGGAGCCATGGAAGGAACGGAGGGGGTGGAGGGCCAGCACACAGGGGTTATATATTAGCCGAAATACCAATGCCACTCCAGAGGGCTCCCCAACAGATACTGCTATGAGAAAACTTCTGACAACATATTCACCCCTACACAGAATGGGCACGAGCAATCACTCAAAGAAGAACAATCTGTTAGAAAGCACTACACCCAATAGTCCCATTTAGACTTTTATGCTCTTTTTGCTCCTTTAAATAATTTTACCCCAGAATATGTTCAGACTGCGATTGGATTCAATTTTATCTTTATTTAATCTCTTACGCCCTGTTATCTTGGTTCTGTAATGATATTCTTACACCACCACTGTTTATTTGCCATTACATTTTAAGTTGGCTCAAACACCTCTGCAATATTTCTACATGCAGGTAGAATAAAGTTATGTATTTAAATTTAAACTGTATCTATTTTTTTAAAATAGTACTATAGTCAAAGCATGTTATAGGGGATGCTCTCAGAAGTCAGGATATGCCAATATACGGATGTCTGCAAAAACTTAACACTCTCCCCCGGCAAACAAATCAAGTCTGAAAACAGGATGCTTTCCTCCCTAGCTCATTTGGTGTGCAAGTCAGACAATGCTGAGTGAACAGAAGATAAAAACAAAAGGGAATTCTGTAACCTAAGAATTACCACTCTGGGTCAGACCAAAAGTCAATCTAGCCTGGCATCTTGTTTTCTGACAGTGGCCAATGCCAGGTGCCCCAGCAGGAGGGAACAGAAAAGGGAATCCAGGTGATCCATCTCCTGTCACCCATTTCCAGACAGAGGCTAGGCGCACCATTCCTGTCCATCCTGGTTAATCAGTCATTGAGGGATGTTTTCTCCATGAATTCATCTAGTTCTTCTCTGCACCCTGTTAGAGCCCTGGCCTTCACAATATCCTCTGGCAAGGACATAAACCCCTTCCTCTCAGGAAATAGCCAAGATATTTATCACTTGTGCCAGCATTTTGGGGAGTGCCTCATCTGTGCATAGCCCTCCAAGTTGCTTTCTGTTAGAGTTTTCATTATTAAGTGTTTGCTAAGCTCCAACAACATGCCCTAAGACAGTGGTCCCCAACGCGGTGCCCGTGGGCGCCAAAGTGCCCGCTGGGGCATTTGTGCACGCCCACCTACAACCTGGGCCGACCCCGCCCCCAGCGCGCAGCGCACGGGAGGCGCCGGCCCCAGACTCGCAACACGCACCGGTGCGGCTCCAGCCCCGGCCATGGGGCACATGCCGGCGCACGATGCAAGGGCATCCCTATGCCCTGGTGTGTCCCCGGATGCGCGGCCTCACCCCCCGGGCGCCCGGCGCGTGAGTGGCCCCGCCCCCCGTGCGCCCCG